GGGAAAAATGCTTGTATATAACTGGAAGTTAATGACATCTAGAGGAAATGGAATATCTATATTGTTAAATCTACAAAGTCTGTTCTTGAAGAAATATGGTATTGTATTTTAGAAGTTGAAGAATATATTAAAGGGTTTATTTTATCAAACTCTAGTACTTTGCAATAAGAAAAAATGATGATTATGATAATATTATGAGCACCTCTGTTCATTAAAGAGAATAAAGCCCCAGATGAATCTTATCAGCTTTTTTCACTGTAGCCAGATTGCAACGGGACATATATGATATGGCTATAACTGCAGGTATATATGAGAACTGTTGCAAACAGATGTGAAGGATGAAAGATTTTAGCTAAAATATTTCAATTAGAAGAACTGACATTAAAACAAACAAACAAAAAACACCCAAAAAACCCAAGAAATAATAAGTTGATTTATGGCTAAAAATTGCTGCTCTTGCAAAAATTATTCTTCTTTTTTCTTCCTATCTCCAATAATAGCTAATCTATATATACTTTTCCCTCCATTTATATGTACAATATTTGTTTCCTAGGTCAATTTTTAACAGCTTGCATTCAGAAATAACCTCCTGTAAAAGCAATTTTCCATGTACTTTGGTTAAGTTATATGGAATCTACCAGATCAGTAGGATTCAAGTTGCTTTTCCCAAAAGGTCTAATTTAGGGTAAAGTATGTAATAATACTGCTGATAAATGGAACGTGCTAAGCTACCATCACAGCTATACTTCACTTCTGTAATTGCAAATCTCCAAAATTCAGCAATAAAGTAAATCTAAAAATAAAAGGAAACTCATTTGCCGTAGAATCACTCATATTCTTAACATAAACATATTGTTTGGAACTTCAAACATGGTAATTATCAAGTATGTCAAATATCACCCTAATTTATCTAGTGAAAGAATAGGTAAATGTAGGAAATAGAATTTGCATTGCTATTGATCTTTAACATTAAGCCACTTGGAAAAATAACCTGAGGAAAAGGAACTTTGAGTAAAAGGTAATCCTTAGAGATGTAATACCTCTGTACAAGTAGGTTCTCTAACAATTTATATGAATCACAGCTAAAATTTTTGGAGACTTACCTACTTTAGTGGGAGAAAGGTGGACAGTCTCTTTTTGCTGGGGGGTCAGCTGTGAGTCAGTTCTGACTTGCCAGCAGTGAACTAGAATTTGAGATTTAACCATGGTAAGGGTACTCTAGTGGCATTGCATGGAGGGACTTATGCTGCTAATCAAAGGTTGTTCCTGTCTGTTGATTTAAAATCACAGATGGGAGGAAGATGGGCAATCTCCTGTGCATTTTCTGCAATAAAAAACAACCCCAAAACTAACAAAACAACAACAAAAAATACCACAACAATAGAGGGTAAAAATGAGTTGGTTCTGACTTGAATGCAGTGAGTTTGTTTTGTGAGTTACTGATTATATGTCTAAATCAATCTAGGACCAGAAAGAGTGAGTGATAATCAAAATAATACAGCATTTTGGTCTTTTCTTTCTCTCTTTCTCTCTCTCTCTCTCTTTCTTTCTTTCTTTCTTTCCTGGTAATGATCTTTTAGTTTCTTCATAGATGATATCCTTGTGGACATTCAACAACATTATTGTCTTTGGACATTGGTATTAAAAACATTAAATTTGTTCTTGATATGGTTTATAATTTCAATTGGGATGAACTCAAGGTTGGATTTTGGCTTTCATGGATTTTTAAACTTGCATATAAATAACTAATTGTTATATATAGTCACCCTTGGCCTTGTTTTGTCTACTGATATTGAGCTTCTCCATCAACTTTTTTCCAAATATATAGTCAATCTAATTCCTATCTATACAAATGGACCTCACCTGATCAACTACTCAGGAATCAGTTTGACACAAGAATCAAAGAATATACACAGACCCCTCTGGTAGTATAATCCATAAGAAGTTGTGCTGTTAACCCAATAGTGGTATGTTTTCTTGTGGTTCAAATACACCAGAAGCTCAGAAGTAGTAAAGTGACATCCTCCCATGCTATTTACAGCCCCCAAATATCAGTGACCAAATAAAGCAAATGCTCACAGATATTAACTTCTAGTATATCAATGAAGTAGCATATCACATGATACACCAGACAACTTCTTAGGTAAAAAAAACCCTCTTTTTTTAAAATTAAAGTGTAAGAAGAGGAAGAATGACATGTGAAAGGCCATATCTGACATTTACTAATTTCCCAGAGGGGTAGTGTCCCAGTCAACAGCACTGGCAACACAAAATGAATTCAATGAGGTCAGACATGCCCCACATTCCCATACTTCTTTCTACTCATATTTGCACCATTCTTACTGTTCTCTGAGCCCAAAATTCAATATGACTGCTCATATACCATACAGAACCACACTGGAGAAGTCAAACGTTAAAATCCAGGTAAGTAGCAGAATACAGCCAGGAAGAATGCCAAAATGTGCTCACAGGAAACACAGTCTGGAGTCTTGTGGCTAGGATAGTGTGACAAAGTTTTCAGTCCTGAAAATTATGGCTCCCCCACCCAAGCTGTACATATTAAATATAATAATTATACCATTGTTGTTGTTGTGGTTGTTATGTGCCATCGAGTTGCTTGCGACTCATAGTGACCCTATGTACAACAGCCCTAAACCTCCGCTCTGTCCTGTGCCAATCTCACTGTCTCCGACACTCCCATCCCAATTATCCCAGTCACTGAATCAATCCACCTCATAGAGGGCCTTCCTCTCCTGGGCTGTCCCTCCACCTTCCGAAGCATGATGTCCCTCTCTAAGGACCGGTCTCTCCTCACAGCATGTCTAAAGTATGTTAGACAGATCCTCAGAATCCTTGCCTCCAAGGAGCCACCCGGTTTAACACTTTCCAGGACAAATCTGTTTGTTTTCCTAGCAGTCCATGGTATTCTCAATACTCTTCTCCAGCACCACAGCTCAAAGGCATCAATTCTCCTATCCTCCTTGGTCTTTATCCAACTCTCTGATGCATAGCAGGTGATTGCAAAGACCATGGCCTGTATCAGACGCACCTTAGTCTCCAAAGAGATACCATTGCTCTTCAGCACTTTGGAGAGGTCCCTAACAGCAGACTTCCCCATGGCAATTCGCTTTTTAATTTCCTGGCTGCTGGTGCCAAGACTGTTGACTATGGAGCCAAGCAAACTAAAGCTGTGTACAATCTCAATCTCTTCACCATCCATCCTGATGCTGCCAATTGGTCCAGTGGTGAGAATCTTTGTCTTCTTGACATTGAGCCTCAATCCATATTGTAGGCTGCAGTCCTTGACACTCTGCAGCAGGCGCTTCAGGTCCTTCTCAGTTTCAGCAAGCATGGTTGTGTCATCCGCATAACGCAGATTGTTGATAAATCGTCCACCAATCTTGACCCCACATTTCTTCTCATAGAGCCCCGCCTCCCGGATAATCTGTTCTGCATATAGGTTGAAAAGGTATGGTGATAGGATGCATCCCTGGTGTACGCCCTTCCCAATTTTGAACCATGCAGTGTTCCCTTGCTCTGTTCTGACGACTGCCTCCTGGTCCAAGTATAAGTTTCGCATTAGAACAATCAAGTGTTCTGGGATTCCCATTCTTCTCAGAGTCAGCCACAATTTGTTATGATCTACACAGTCAAATGCCTTTGCATAGTCAATGAAACACAGATAGACACTCCTCTGGTATTCCCTGCTTTCAGCCAAGATCCATCTAACATCAGCTACAATATCTCTAGTATGTTTAATTATATCTTTGTATGATAATAAAACCGTTATAAGACATAATAGTACAATTCTTCAACTTTTATCCAAACATGATTAAAAATAAACTCTAAAATATATCAAAGATCATAAAGTAGGAACAAGACAAGGGACAATTTTTTTATACTATGCTTAAAATCACTACAAATTGGAGCCAATCTTCGGTAGCTAATCAATAATTTTTAGAATAATTACATAAAGTACTTTTCTGCATGGTTGTAGTAGCCTGTATAAAGAATAAATATATATTGTTTGAAAAATTTAAAAGGAAATATTTTTAGTCCTAATATCTGGAAGCAGGAGTGGCATCGACTTGCAAAATGGCTTGCCTCCGGAAACTCTATGTACGAACAGTGCTCAGGATATCTGTTCATAAGGTCATTATGAGTCGTCTACAATTCGACAGCACCAAACAACAACAACAATATCTTAGAACTTAGTAAGCATGTAGGTTTTGAAAGTATTGCTATATTATGGTGGCACAGAGTTTAGTATTTTCATTATAAGTACACTTGAATAATTACTTCCACATTCTCCATCATTTAAATGTCCTACCATCCCTTCCTAAAGTAAGCCACTGCAAATTTTGTGGACAGTGGTGGGACAATCCTAATTTTGGATGTTGAATAAATATATTTTTCAAAATGAAATATTTTATAATTGTAAAAAGGAAGCTAAGACTGTTGTTTTGAAAGTTTGCAAAAATCAGCATACTGCTCAGTGAAAGCTCTTGTATATAATTGAAAACTGAAAGAGGTGATTCATATTAATAACAAATTAATATCGGCAAAATTCAGATAACCAAATCTGTGATCTCAGATACATAATAAAAGGGGAAAGACACTGTGACATACATGATAGCTATTTGCTTTTTTTTTAGTAAATATATTATGTTGATATATATTGCGAAACCTCCTAAATTTGGAAAAGTATGTAAAGTAAAATATGATAAAAAAAGAAAATTCAACTGTTTTCACTAAGAGAGGGCTACAGAAATGTTGTAGGAGTGAATCCACTCAAAGGTAAAAAACTTACAAGTTTCATAAAAAGACCAGTCACTTTGGGATATGGCTATTACAAGTTTTACTGTAAAAGTAGTTTTTTCATACATTTTTATTTAATTGATGGTAATCACGTATTTAGAATTTTAAAGCTTTAGCAGACAAAGCATTTAGTAATTCAAAATATGTAAATATGTTTTATTTTAAAATAATCATACTCTTACCCTGATCGAAGGATTTTCCTGGACTCCAAGTGCGAAAATAATCATCCTATGAGGAAAATAATGTGTATTGAATGTATATGATTATTTGAAATGTCAATATTCATATAAGCATTAAAAGAAATATGAAATACAGGAGCTGTATACAAACCTCCACTTCCTGCAATGGCAAGCAGCAAATTATAAAAAAATAAAAGAGGAACAAGAGAAAAATAATAGTTATCAAAAGAGAACACATTGTTTACATATTATAGAAATGTCTTCAATTATGTGTTCATTTCATTTGTAATTCAGTGTTTACTGTAGTAGTCTATTTTACATTCCCAATTATCCTAAATAGTAAATTGTTATATTTTCAGTTCCAATTCTGTGTGTTATATACTATTCAGATAATAATTCTAACTATATAAGCTATAAAATATCATACCCATTTCCAATTATAAAACTTCATTTTCCACTACTATCATCATCATCATAATTAGAACCTTTAGTAAAACAGAGAAATACCTACTATTGTGATTCCACAATTTTCTACTGAGAATAAAAATATTTTATGCAAATAATTGACATGCTAATGGAATATCCAAAGAGTTAATCGAAACACATTTGGGAACTTAAGAAGAAATGCATATTTTATATGGAAAAGAATCATTGTAATACCTATATGTATTGATACGTTTAGTGAGTATGCTTATATAACTTAAACTTGAGTTAATACATATTGATAAAATAAAGCCAAAAGATTTTTAACTTTGCAAGGCTTTTAAATTACCTCATTCACATTATATTTTTACTAAGACACAGTTTATTGTTCAAATAAATGTTTTAGCCTTAGAGAATCATTAGAATAGCATATTATGATAAAGCTCTTTCTATAGTATTTCCTTGGTCATACTGTTAGTCTTACCAATGTTGGTCAACTAGAAAACTGTATAAACTTGAGATTTCCAGAAAGCAAAATAAATATTTTTTCTTTATGTAGATACTAATACTTTTGCTATCATTTCTGAAGTACAAAGAAGAAATATTGTAAATTTTTTAATAATAGAATTGAGTGCATTTGTTTAATCTCTTTTATGAAATCTAATTAAGCTACAAAATACATTACTTAGTCTAGCATATCATTTACAATCACCTTCACCTATCTATCTGAACAATTTCAAATGAGACAAAAAGTAAGAACAAAGAAAACTGATAAGACACAAAACTCTGTTGATGTTGTTAGAGGAATTCCATTTAAAGCCATCTACTTTGATATTTTCTGGCCTAAATTATTTAAAATTAGATTATTGATATTGTGGTTATTTGCTTTCGAATTTGAACCAACTCACAGCAGACCCTCTAGCAGATTTTCAGAAGCTATCAATCATATGGCAGGAAACTGAAAATCTTTCTCCTGTGAAGCTTTTTGTGGGTTTTAACCAAGTGCTTTTGGATTGTCAGTGTAATTCCTTACCACTGGTCTACTAGAGCTCAAGATTAGATTAAGTGAGGATAAATGCAAATAAATAAATGAATGAATGAATAAATAAATGTTTATTGCTTAATCGACTTTAAAAATCTTTATCTAAAAAGTAATTATAGCATACCAAACTCCTTAGAAAAATTGTATGTAAATTATTCCATTGTTGTTGTTGTTATGTGCCATCGAGTTGCTTGCAACTCATAGCGACCTTATGTACAAGAGCTCTAAATGCTGTTCTATCCTGTGCCAACCTAGCCATCTCAAATGCACTTATTCCCATTGCTCCAGTCACAGAATAGATTCATCTCATCGAAGGTCTTCCTTTCCTTCGCAGCCCCTCCACTCTGCCAAACATGATGTCCCTTTCCAAGGACCAGTCCCTCCTTGCAACATACCCAAAGTATGTCAGATGAAGCTTCAGAATCCTTGACTCCAAGGAGCATTCGGCTTCACCTTCTCCAGGACAAA